GATTGGTGAGCGCCGCATTGGCATGGTCATGGACGTCGCTCGTACATCCATGATGCATGCGGCTGCCCCCCATTTTCTGTGGCCGTTTGCAGTTCAGTACGCTGCGCATCAGCTCAACCTTCACCCCCGGGTCTCCTTGCCAGAGATCTCCCCCGCCTTGCGGTGGACAGGGAAGGTTGGCGATGCGTCTGCGTTTCGGGTCTGGGGATCTCAGGCATTTGTCTGCTACTTGTCTGCGAACAAGTTGTCCCCCCGTGCTGTTCCTTGCGTCTTCCTTGGCTTCCCCCCCCAACGCGCCTGGCTGGCGGTTTTACCACCCCACCACACGCCGTATTCTGTCCTCCCAGGACGTCACCTTTGACGAGTCGGTGCCGTACTACCGTCTCTTCCCCTACCGCACTGTGCCCCTCCCCCCACCGCCACTCTTCCTTGCGCCAGGTGCTACCCAGGTAGACCCCCTCCCTCCTCAGGGTCCTGCCCCTTCAGGTGTGTCCCAGGTAGACGTAGTCGAGCCTGTCGAGGTAGCTGTTGACTCTGGTGCTGCTAGAGGTGCTGAGCCTGCGGGTGCCAGGTCTGGGGGTGCTGAGTCTGGGGGTGCTGAGACTGGGGGTGCTGAGCCTAGGGGTGCTGAGTCTGGGGGTGCTGATCCTGGGGGTGCTGAGCCTGGGGGTGCGGAGCCTTGGGGGTGCTGAGGGTGCTCGTGTGGCTGCCGGCGGTGCTTCGTCGAGGCGGGAGCCGCTCTCTCCACAGGAGCTGCGCGAGTGGTTCGCCCGCCGCTGGAGACGTGCTACTGAGTCTAGGATGCTACTGGAGCTGCTGTCGGTGCTGGTGTTGCTGGAGGTGGAGCTGCTGGGGGTGTCTGCGCTGGTGTTTCTACTGGTGCTAGTGCGTCTTGGGGTGCTACTAAGGCAGCTGGTGCTGACGGTCCTACTGGAGTTGGTGTTGCTGGAGCTGGAGCTGCTGGGGGTGTTGGCGCTGGCGGTGCTGCTGGCGCTGGTGCTTCTGAGGGTACTGGAGTTGGCGCTGTTGGAGCTGGAGGTCTTGCTGGCGCTGGTGCTGCCGCTGGGGGTACTGGTGCCGTCCTTGCTATTTCTGGAGGTGCTGAGCGGCCATGGCCGTACTTCGTTCTGCTCCTGGAGAAGGTTCTTGGTCTCCCTCCCTCTCCTGGTCCTGCTCCTCCCTTAGAGTGTCCACAGCCTGTCCAGTCGCAGTCACAGTTACAGCCCGCATCCCCGCTACCTGCTCCTTCTCCCTACACTGGTCCTACTGGAGGTCTTGCTGAGCGTCGTGAGCTTGCGTCTCGTCCTGCGTCGCCTGTTCGTGCTGCTCGCACTAGTCGTCGTGCTACATGTCCGCGTCCTCCTGCGGTCCCCGCCACACACCAGATGGCATTGCGTCCGTCCAGTGCTCCTCTGCGTGTCCCTTTGCCATCTCCTCCAGAGTCCTCTCTTCCTTGTCTTACTGACCCGGAGTCTGACTCCCTTCGTGCTGCTAGTCCTTCGGTCATGCGCCTTCTTGCTACTGTTGTCACTAACCCTTCCTTTGAGTCCACTGCTGCGTCTGCTCTAGTTGCTGAGCTTGTCGACTTTGCTGCTCGCTGTCGTCTAGACTACGCTGCCAGTCTTGTTGCTGAGTCTGTGTCTGTCTGTCCTCCGTCCGTCGGGGGTGAGTGTGCTCTTAGCACGGACGCCTTTGAGGACAGGCAGGAGGAGTTCCAGTGCTTTGCGGCTGCTTTGCCCCATCTCGTGTCCACGGTGATTGCCTTTGAGGGAGACCCGGATGCACCACACATCCCGACTCCTCGATCGTACGCTGAGGCGATCGAGGGTCCCTAATCCTCTCGGTGGCACTCGGCCATGGACGCAGAGATGGCGTCCTGGAAGTCCACAGCCACCTACGTCGACGAGGTTCCCCCACCTGGGGCGAACATCGTCTGTGGAATGTGGATCTTCAGGGTGAAGCGGCCGCCGGGCTCTCCTCCTGTCTTCAAGGCGCGTTACGTGGCTCGAGGCTTCAGTCAGCGGTAGGGAGTTGACTACTTTCAGACCTTCTCTCCCACCCCGAAGATGACCACTCTTTGGGTGCTGCTGCACATAGCCGCTCAGCGCGACTACAAGCTTCACTCTCTTGACTTCAGCACAGCTTTCCTGCAGGGCAGCCTGCACAAGGAGATCTGGCTGCGCCGCCCTCCTGGCTTCACTGAGTCGTTTCCTCCTGGTACCCAGTGGAGCCTCCGGCGGCCAGTCTACGGTCTCCGCCAGGCGCCCCGTGAGTGGCACATCACACTGAAGACTACACTTGCGGCTCTTGGGTTTGCTCCTTCTACAGCCAACCCGTCGCTGTTTCTACGCACCGACACCTCTTTGCCGCCGTTCTACATCCTCGTGTACGTCAACGACTTGGTCTTTGCCACTGCTGACACTGCTAGACTTGCCCACATGAAGTCCGAGCCGTAGAGGAGACACACGTGCACAGACCTGGGTGTACTGCGCAGCTACCTTGGCTTGCAGATCACCCGGGACAGAGCACAGCGCACCATTACCCTGACTCAGTCACACATGGTGCAGCAGGTCCTTCAGCGCTTCGGCTTCACGTACTCCTCGCCTCAGGCCACTCCTTTGTCTACTCGCCACTCGCTCTCAGCTCTGCCTCCGGATGAGTCCGTAGAGCCGAGTGGCCCATAACCAGAGCTTGTTGGCTGCCTCATGTACCTGATGACCTGCACACGACCTGACCTTGCATACCCTCTTAGCATCTTGGCCTGCTATGTTGCTCCTGGGAGACACAGACCAAAGCACATGGTTGCAGCGAAGAGGGTGTTGCGCTACTTGTGCAGTACGTCGGGCATGGGGCTAGTGCTTGGAGGGCGACGTCGAGTAGTCCTCATAGGTCACGCAGACGCTTCTTGGGCTGACGACTTGGCTACGCAGCGGTCGTCAGAGGGTTACACCTTCAGCCTTGGCTCCGGCTCTGTCTCGTGGCGGTCTACCCGCTCGTCCTCTGTTCTCGGCTCCAGCAATGAGGCTGAGATCTACGCAGGGGCCATGGCTGCACAGGAGCTACGCTGGCTCACCTACCTGCTGACTAACCTAGGAGAGCCGCCTCGTTCTCCTCCAGTTCTGTACGTAGACAACAAGGCCATGCTGGCCTTGTGTCGGGAGCACAGACTAGAGCACAGAACGAAGCACATTGCTCTCCGCTACTTCCTGTCTCGTGAGCTGTAGCAGCGCGGTCAGCTCCGCCTCACCTACGTGGCCTCTGAGGCCAACACTGCTGATATCTTCACCAAGGCACTTCTGCCTTGTGATCATCAGCGCTTCTGTACTATGCTAGATCTTGTGCCTACCTGGCCTCACTTGCTCACTTCTTGATCTTGTTTGTAGTGTATTCTTTCTATACCTGCCCTTGCTTGTTTTACCTTTATATATATGTTCTTGCATGTGAACTATCCTTGTGGCCTTACTCTTGTGCTCGGACTGTGTGGTGACTTTGTGATCCACCCTTAGCTTGCTTTGCTTTGCTTTACTTGACTGGTCTTGTGACCACTTGTTCTCCCCCACTTTGCCTATCGAGGTGTGTCAGAACATTATAGCTTATACATTTGTGTAGGCTGTAGTGGGGTAGCCCATATTGTTGTGTGATGCAATCATATGCATTCACGTCTGTCTGCCCCCCATCATATGTTCGTGCGTTGCATGCGTGGTGTGAGCGTGTGCAAGAATTTGTGTTTGATGTGGTTTGATTTTTCTGAGTGTGTGTGAATGTTATTTGGCTTGAGCAGATATCTGAAGTGACTTCTCTGCTCAAGAGCTTTCCGACGAACCAAGTATCGCTTCAATCGGAGCACGAACAAGAAAGTTACGAACGTTGGAGTTCGTATGCTTTTGATATTTGGTTGTGGTGACTATGGGAAGTTGTGGGGTTGACTCAATATGGGGTACAGACTTTTGGGGGTTAGGAAATTCGTCAACATCACTGTAGATGCTGCCAAGTGGTTGGGAGAAACCAAACCAGGTTGGCAAGTGTGGCCAAGTTGGGTTAAGGTGGATGGCATGGGTTGGGAAAGTGACAAAAGTGAAAGTGGGGTTGCCTATGGGGAAGGGAATTGTGTGGCATGGGGTTTCCTTGGTTGGGAACTCTCTTGGGACCTTCCCTCTCGTCCTCCTCATCCCATCTCACCTGGTTTATTGCTACTCTAACTCTCTTGTGTAGTGATTGTGAACTTGTGTGAGACTCTTGTGATTCAATAAAAATTCTATGGCAGCATACCCCCTAGTGCGCCGAAACTGATAACTCAAGAAATACTTCACCTTATCGTACGATTCAAATTGGGAATTGTAGCCACGGACTAGAGCTACAACATAGTTGAGTTTGGTGAAGTTTTAACGGTGCACCTTTCGTCGACTGCGTTTCTTGTGAAGTCGATGTTTCTATCCAGAATTTTAAGCCAACGATTTTGAGAATTTTAGGCACCTAATCTTCGTAGACTCCGTTCTTAGTCTATAACACATATGAGGTAGAACCCCATTAGGGTTAGTACTTGTACCCAACTGTTTCATAGTTCATTCATTCCATTCTCACTTCTAGTCACGATGTGAGGGCACGGAAGCCGCCGGGGTGGGGAGCTTAGGAGGCATCGCAGGCCAAGCACATGCCCTACGAGGGGCGGCTTGGCTATGTGGGTTTCTTTGGCCTGGTGGTTGAGACCTACCGGGCATTTGCGAGTGACACTCAACAGTTCCTCCGTATGTTGGCTACCTATGCGGCGAGGAAGAAGTACCGCCAGGGGCGCCTCACCACCACCGCTGCCCGCCTCAATGCACACTACAGGCAGCGGTGGTCGGTGATGCTCCAACGCAGCTAGGCGACGTCCCTCCTCTCCAAGTCAAACCGGGCAGCGGAAGCAGCATTCCCTCATGCTGCAACGGACCCTTGGCCCCCCCGGCTGGGGGACCTCTGGCAGATGCAAGTGGACGAGTATGAGGAGCGACAGGCTCCAGCTAGAGCGGCTTAGGAGGCCGGGGAGGAAGGAAATGGGTGACGGGGAGATGCTTGGGTGGCGGCAAGGGAGGGGTATAGGAGCATGATGAGGAGCAGGGAGGGGATTCCTAGGCGTGGGATGGTTCCTGCCAAGGCCGCTACCAAGGGGGCCGGAAAGGGGAAAACACCCGCTACTCGGCGAGTATCCAGCACAGCCTCCTGTCTATCCAGCGCAGGACGGATGCGGCTGCTGATACAAGGTCGAGGGGGGCCTGCTAGGCGGACTCAGTAAGCCGCACCATCGCCCCAAGACTAGGCCCGAGTGCAGCACCAGGGGCGCCCGGGACAAGGCTGATTAGGGGAAGGCAATGCAGCATCTCCGTTGCCACGAACACCGCTGCCGACTGCTCCGACGGTAGCATCCCCCCAACCTCAACACCTTGGCGTGCCAAGCACACGTGGAGCTGGTCTAGCACGTACGACAGCAACGTCAGGCACGTCCCCACGTGCATTACGCACTGCTTGACGTGGAGAAGCGTCGCAGCTACACGAGCAGGAGCACGAGGAGCCGACGAGACGGGAGGGAATAGCAGCACCTGGGGAGTTGGCGGCTGATGCAGCTGAGGCTGGGGAAGTGGTAACTAGTTCAGGGGGCGGCTGAGCCCGAGGAGGCGCCGCTGGTGGGGACTGACATGGCTGCTGCCGTGGAGGGGGCGGAGACTGAGGAGGGGCCAGTGTCTGATGTCGTGACTGCTGCTGCCTCTGGCGGCAGCTCAATCTCACCTTCTTCCACCCCCCGAGTAGCACTTCAGCAGGTGGAGAGCCAGAGGCTGGCTGGCGCTCAGGAACAGACGGCAGAGGCGGCGCTGTCCGCGTCACCGGCACCTGTGGCAGCTGCTGTGTTGGCAGCGGTGATGTCTGCTGCAGCGGGGGAACGGAACGGAGCCCTGACCTAGGAGGACGGGATGGCTGCCGTTGTGTGCGCCGGAATGCCTGCTGCTGCCGTGGGCGCAGATACGCAGGGGCACGCCCAGGCGGCGAACGATAGATGGGGTTGCGGGAACGGCGAGACTGTCCGCGCCGCTCGTGGGAAGGGGGGGAAGAAGATTCGAGCCCAGCCAGTGCTGAGACGGCCAGGAGCAGGGCTGGGACCTGGCGCCCCAGGACCCCTACTGGGCTGGCTTCTGCAAGGGCAACCGCCACAAGCGCCAGAGCGTCCGCTGCCATCATAGGGAGAGGGGCCACCATTGATGCCCACGGAGTAGGCGGATCCGCAGACAGTGGCGGCGAGGCCGTAGAGGAACCAAACTGCCAAGGCAGCACTGGAGACAGCGGCCTCGACGGTAGCAAGAGGCACAGGTGCAGGAACGGGAGCGACTCTACAGGGGGCGAGGCGTTTTGCGAGACTCGGTACGATAACATGGGGACCGCCACATGGCGGATGTACACCCCGGATGCCAGCAGGATGCGGGGGGATCGGGGCCCCAGGCAACAACGGTGGCACTGCAGCGGCAAACACGGTTGGAACGGCGCGGGCGCAGGCGGGGGGAACACGTGGAGGTTTTCGAGGGGGACGGGGGGGAGGGCACAACCCGCTTGGCAGAACGGAGATCCTAGCTAGATCCGACACTTGGCGGGAATGTCACGACCGACCAGAATTTGTGGCTACGGTTGCACCAGCGAATGAGGAGCGGGCAGTGTCTGATAATGTTGTCTCAGACCCTGAGTTTACGGGTGAGGAGGAAGTTGAGTCTGAAGAAATCTCTTTGGACAAGGAGCCAGTTTTGGGAAGAAACAACCGAGCCAGAACAGGGGGAGAGGGAGCAGCTCTAACCGCACAGAATGGGGGAGAGCCAATCGAGGCTTCCACAGAGGATACGGATGTCCTGTCACCATCCGACCTGGCAGAAGCGGACAAAGTTTGACAGGTGGTAGGGGAGTGGAACGCGGACATCCTCCAGAGGGGAGAGCAGCCGTTCCTCGTGCGACAATTACCATCACAGATCCTAGACCAATACTGCTTGTGTCTCATGGCCACACTTTTTTGCTTGTGGAAATACCCTGCCTGCCCAGGTGGCTGGAAGATTCTTCACTTCCTGCCTAGACTTACCCTCAGACCAGCACCAGAGCCAGTCACAGGAAGCTGCTGGGCATGCATCGAGGCCCGCCTCCACAAGTTCCAGCGTGGCGATTGGGCTGACTTTTTCGAAGAGGCAGGGGTCATCCCCGCCATAGAAGGCCCGGTACGACACCAGGCTGACGAGGAAGGGATTTGAGCTCGTGCAGAAAGTTTAGTGAAAAAGGTAACATTTCAAAGGCAGTGTCGGCCCTGCAAACAAGCCCACTCGCAAAAGCCACCTCGGCGACTCTGGAAACCCTGCGTTCGAAACACCCTGCAGATATGATACAAACCCCGGCCTGGGTAACCGGCATCACCCAGAGCAAACTCAATGTCCCACTGGACACACTCCGCGAAATGCTTGCAAAGTGCCCAAATAGGGTCGGGGCAGGCCCTTCGGGCACATGTTTCGAGCATCTTCGAGACCCGGCATTGGCCAACGAAGAGCTGCTCATACTTTTCGCTGAAGTGGTGAACCAGATGCTAAGTACCTACCAGCCCCAGCATGTGAGAGACCTGCTTCTTCCGTCCCGTCTCATCGCTCTAGAGAAGCCTCACGGTGGAGTAAGGCCAATCGCCATTGGGGAAGCTATTCTAAGTGTAATTGCAAAAGCAGCGCTGCAGACCCTCGGCCCCAAGATTAGGGCCTTCTTTCTCCAGGTCCAGCAAGGCGTTGCGGTCTTGAGAGGAGCAGAGTGCATTATCCATGCTGTCCGCGCGCTACTTCGAGAGGATAAATCAAGGATAGTACTCCAGCTGGACGTTGAGAATGCTTTTAACAGTGTTGAACGGCCTACATTCCTAGGGGCGCTGTAATGGTCTAGCCTTAGCCCGCTTTTCCCTCTAGTTCGCAACCTCTATGATGGGCCGTCCCGCCTGCTTGTTGATCCACGACTCAGCACCGACCACATCCTGAGCTCCAAAGGCGTGCGACAAGGCAATCCTCTCGGAACGCTTCTATTTGCAGCGGCTATTCAGCCTACACTCCTCAACGTCGCCACGTCCGTGCTGGAAGTTGCAATCACGGCATATGCTAACGGAATCACCGTGGTTGGCCCGCTGGAAGCAGCCTGTCTGGCTTTTCGTACGATCACGAGCAAGCTGGCGGAGCTGAGGCTCCGCTGCAACATCGCTAAATCATCTGCATGGGCCCAATCTTATGGTGAAGCTAGCGTCGAGCTACAAGATGGTTTGGTAGCCAACCCTGGAGGTATAAAGGTGCTGGGCAGCCCTATCGGGCACAATGACTACTGCACAGGCCAAGTCAGAGCTACGCTGGAGGACACGGTTACCCCGCTCCGCTCATCGCCCAACTGAACCCGCCGCACGCGCTACTGATCCTGTCACGCAGCATTTCTCGTCGGATTTCATACCTACTAACGGACGACACCGACATCCGCTCTAAGTAGGGTGGAGTGGAGGGAATGCAGTGAAGGGTTGGTGGGATCAACACTCACGGCGGCGAAGCTCCGCATCCCAACGCTGGAGCTGGAGCAGAGCCTCCTATGGCGGCAAGCGACGTTACCGATCAGGCTAGGCGGCCTGGGAATCATTGACCCATGCTCGGAGCCCCCTGCCGCCTACATAGCCTTGGTCACAGCCGCCCATTCCCTACTGCTGCAGCTGAATCTACCTACGGACTGCCTGCTCCTCCGCGCAACAACTCTGCTCTCCCACGAGTGGTCCCCACCGCCATCGGATAGCAACCCCCTTACCTCCTTGGAGGCAAGCCTCCCAGCCCTGGCACAGTCAGCACTAGGTTAGTATAGAATAGAGAATGCCTATTGCAATTGGCGAATGCTTGACGCGCCTCGCGGCCAAGGCAGCTCTGACCACAATTGGAGAAGCTGCACGTGACCACTTCTTGCCACTACAGTATGGGGTGGCGGTACCCGGGGGAGCAGAGGCAAACATCCATGTCGCACGTGCCTTCGTCGACTCGAGGGACGGCTGCGTGGTGCTACAGTCCGACATCTCAAACGCTTTAAACAGCATTTCGCGACAGGCAATCATCAACGGGTTACGCGACAACAACCTTTCGTCACTGCTCCCTCTGGTGCGGCTCACGTACGGCAACCCATCGAAGCTGTACCTCGACTCGAACTTCGCCAGCAACCCGCTAAATAGCGAACGCGGCGTGAGGCAGGGGGACCCACTCGGCCCTCTACTGTTCGCAGCAGGGATTCACCCAACACTTCGCAAAACTACCGACGCACACCCCCACATTCTTTGCTTGGAGTATGCAGACGACGTGACATTTTTGGGGGACGACACGGACACTGTAGCAGCATTCAATTTCTTCACGAGCAAGCTCGCGCAGCTGGGCCTTAAACATAATCCACAGAAATGTGCGGCATGGAGCACAAGGGGCGACGAGCCAATTCAGCTGCCTACAGGGGTCCCGTCTTCCAAGGACGGGATACGCCTTCTAGGCAGCTTCCTGGGGCCAGAGGCGGGCGCGGCCAAATTCCTGGCGGGGCAGCTAGAGGAAATGGCGAAGCCGCTGCCGCTATTAGAACGTGCCGACCCCCAAGTAGCCTCCCTGCTCCTGACCCGCTGCATTTCCAAACGCGTAGCATACCTCACTAGGACTACTCCACTGAACCTCCTACCTCGAGACACCTGGGCACAGTGGGGGAGAGACCTCCTAGCCGCGCTCCTGATATCCTGCGGGATTAGAGTCCCTACTTGTAGCACGGAGCAGTCGAAAGTGTGGGCGCAGGCCTCGCTTCCATCATCCTTGGGCGGCCTAGGAATCACGGACCCACTCGTAGAAGGCGTCTACGGCTTTGTAGCCAGCTTCACACAGGCCGCGCTCTTCTTTTCCTCCCTGACGCTAGCACCAGACACAGCACTGACCCGAGCACACAGCCACATGATTCTGCCCCAGGACGTCACAACACCGCTTCACTCCTGGCTCACAGAGTGCGAGACTGCCCTGCCCTCAGACGCACGCGACGTAGTTTACCAGGAGCGGCTCTCTCGGTCAGACATCAAGCTCCAGCACACTCTGGCCCTGAAAGTACAGGGGAGTAGGTACGCGGTACAGGTCCAAGAGACGAGACGAATGAGACTGAATCCACTCTCTGGGCACACACAGAGAATGTTCTCACTCACCGGCTACGGCATAGGGGACTGGTTGACGGCGATACCGGTAGCTTCCTCACGTCGCATCGGCCCGGTACACTTCAGCAACGCCTTGCGCTTCTGGTTGGGCCTCCCCTTCTCTACTCCGAAGAAGTGTGACTGTGCCGAACACATCGCTATCACAGACCCGCGCCTCCCCAACCACCTCCTCCGCTGCGGCACGGGGAAGCACCGGACGAATACTCATAACGAACTCCGCGACGCATGCATCAGCATGGCGCAAGACGCGGGGTTCATAGTACACAGGGAGACAAACGTCTACTGCCCCATAGAGGAGCAGACGACTGATTTTACCATGACAGACCGAAGTAGTGGGGCGGTCTGGGTGTGTGATGTCACGGTCACAGATCCTATTAGCACCAGGGACCCGGAGGCACGGAAAGGCAGGGGATGGGCAGCCCGGGAGCAGGCGGATAAAAAGATCAAGCACTATAAACACCGGCCAGAGACAGTGGGTTTCTTTCCCCTCGCAGTGGAGACCTACGGCTGCCCTTGTGCTGAGGTCCCTGTGTTCCTGAAACTCCTTGCAGACACGGCAGCTTGGCGGTATTTCAACGCCGACTCCAAATCCTATCATGCCGCAAAGTTCCTGCACCAGTTCAGGCAGAGGTGGTCGGTTGCACTGCAGAGGGCCCAATCTGTGGGTCTCATGATCAGGTTAGGGGAGGCGGCTGTTGCAGAGAACCCGCCTATAGGAGGGATAGGGCAGGAATTATACCTTGGGGACTGTTTTACTGTCCTGGAGCCTCTTCTTGAGCTCTAGGTGGCACAGAAGGGTTGGATAGTCTAGGCTACCCTGCATATTAGCACCCTGCTGTCTCTCATTGCATGTGTGTACCCTCCTGGCTTATCAATATACGGACCATTAGAGAGAGAGATAGAGAGAGAGAGAGAGAGAGAGAGAGAGAGAGAGAGAGGGAGAGAGAGAGAGAGAGAGAGAGAGAGAGAGAGAGAGAGAGAGAGAGAGAGAGAGAGAGAGGCCCTAGGAGCTAGTCCTTTGCCTCCCCAGCACTCTTCCCACTAGTATAAAGTGCTCCTCTGCAGCTATCTGTTTCCATTATTCGGTGCTCTTTCATCTATTTCTCCTAACCGAGCGGCTCGAGCCGGCCGCCAAAGGCGGCCGGCGCTCGACAGCGCGGCCTTCGGCCGCCCGTGA